GGCACTTATGGGGCACAGAGTGACACGGCACAGAGGCGCTTATGGGGCAGAGTTGAGCACTTATGGGGCAGATGAGACACTTATGGGGCTCGGGGGCACTTGTGGAGCAGAGTTGGACACTTATGGGGCAGATTTGGGCACTTATGGGGCACAGCGACATTTATGGAGCACTTAGAGGGCATGGAGTGACACTTATGGGGCAGAGTTGGTCACTTATGGGGCACGGAGTGATGCTTATGGGGCACTTATGGGGCAGAAGGACGCACTTATGGGGCAGAGTTGGGCACTTATGGGGCAGAGGGAGGCACTTATGGGGCACAGAGTGACACGGCACAGAGGCACTTATGGTGCAGAGTTGAGCACTTATGGGGCAGGAGGAGGCACTTACGGGGCAGATGAGACACTTATGGGGCTCGGGGGCACTTGTGGGGCAGAGTTGGGCACTTATGGGGCACAGGGGGCGCTTATGGGGCATGGAGTGACATGGGGCACTTATGGGGCACAACGACAACTATGGAGCACTTATAGGGCATGGGGTGACGCTTATGGGGCAGAGGGAGGCACTTATGGGGCAGAAGGACACACTTGTGGGGCAAGAGGTCACTTGTGGGGCAGAAGGACACACGTGGGGCACAGGGGTCACTTATGGGGCAGAAGGACACACTTGTGGGGCAGAAGGGCACACTTATGGGGCAGAAGGACACATTTGTGGGGCACAGGGGTCACTTATGGGTTCGAAAGACACACTTGTGGGGCAGAAGGACACACTTGTGGGGCCCAGAGGTCACTTGTGGGGCAGAAGGGCACACTTGTGGGGCACAGGGGTCACTTATGGGGCAGAGGGACACACTTGTGTGGCACAGGGGTCACTTATGGGGCAGAAGGACACACTTGTGGGGCACAGGGGTCACTTGTGGGGCAGAAGGACACACTTGTGGGGCAGAAGGGGTTCACTTATGGGTCTGAAAGTCACACTTGTGGGGCAGAAGGACCCACTTATGGGGCACAGAGGTTCACTTATGGGTCCAAAAGACACACTTGTGGGGCACAGAGGTCACTTATGGGGCACAGAGGTTCACTTATGGGGCAGAAGGACTCACATGTGGGGCACAGGGGTCACTTATGGGGCAGAAGGACACACTTGTGGGGCACAGGGGTCACTTGTGGGGCAGGAGGACATGTGTGGGGCACAGAGGACTCCTGTGGGGCACAGGGGTCACTTATGGGGCAGAAGAACACACTTGTGGGGCACAGAGGTCACTTGTGGGGCTGAACGACTCGCTTATGGGGCACAGAGGTTCACTTATGGGGCAGAAGGACTCGTGGGGCACAGAGGTCACTTGTGGGGCAGAAGGACACACTTGTGGGGCACAGGGGTCACTTATGGGGCAGAAGAACACATTTGTGGGGCACAGGGGTCACTTACGGGTTCGAAAGACACACTTGTGGGGCAGAAGGACACACTTGTGGGGCACAGGGGTCACTTATGGGGCAGAAGGACACACTTGTGGGGCACAGGGGTCACTTATGGGGCACAGGGGTCACTGGTGGGGCAGAAGGACACACTGGTGGGGCACAGGGGTCACTTGTGGGGCAGAAGGACACACTTGTGGGGCAGAAGGGGTTCACTTATGGGTCCGAAAGTCACACTTGTGGGGCAGAAGGACCCACTTATGGGGCAGAAGGGGTTCACTTATGGGTCCAAAAGACACACTTGTGGGGCACAGAGGTCACTTATGGGGCACAGAGGTTCACTTATGGGGCAGAAGGACACACATGTGGGGCACAGAGGTCACTTATGGGGCAGAAGGCCCCACTTGTGGGGCCCAGAGGTGACCCTCCCCCCCCAGCCCCCCGGCGCCTGCAGGTCTTTGCCCGCCTTCGCCCGCCGCCCCCCGGCCAGCAGCTCTGCCTGCGCCCCACGGCGCCACACGGCCTGCAGCTCCTGCATGGCGCGGGCAGGGAGCCCAGCAACTTCCGGTGAGTGGGGGGGGGGCTGTGGGGCACAATGGGGCGCTATGGGGTGCAGTGGGGCTCTATGGGGTCCCTATGGGGCTCTATGGGGTCCCTGTGGGGCACAATGGGTCTCTATGGGGCACAATGGGGCTCTATGGGGTCCCTATGGGGCACATTGGGGCTCCTTGGGGCTCTATGGGGTGCAGTGGGTCTCTGAGGCGCTATGGGGCTCTATGGGGCGCAATGGGGCTCTATGGGGTCCCTATGGGGCTCTGTGGGGTCCCTATGGGGCTCTATGGGGTGCAGTGGGTCTCTGGGGCGCTATGGGGCTCTATGGGGCACAATGGGGCTCTCTGGGGTCCCTATGGGGCACAGTGGGGCTCTATGGGGCGCAATGGGGCTCTATGGGGTCCCTATGGGGCTCTATGGGTCCCTATAGGCCATACTGTCCCTATAGGGTCCCTGTGGGTCCCTATACACCATGCGGTCCCTATGGGGTTTCTGTGTGTCCTATAGGGCCGAGCTGTCCCTATGGGTTCTGTGGTTCCCATAGGGCCGTGCTGTCCCTATGGGTTCCTATGGGGTCCTATAGGGCCGTGCTGTCCCTATGGGGTCCTTGTAGGGCCGTGCTGTCCCTATGGGGTCCTATGGGGTCCTATAGGGCCGTGCTGTCCCTATGGGGTTTTATGGGTCCCTATAGGGCCGAGCTGTCCCTATGGGGCTCTGTGGGTCCCTATAGGGCCGTGCTGTCCCTATGGGGTTCTCTGGGTCCCTATAGGGCCGAGCTGTCCCTATGGGGCTCTGACCCGTCCCACCCCGCAGGCTGGACGCCGTTTTCGGGCCGCTGTGCCCCACAGCTGCCGTTTATTCGGGGTCTTTGGGGCCGCTGCTGCCCCAGCTGTTGGCCGGGACGGAGCTCACCCTGCTCTGCTATGGGGCCAGCGGCGCCGGTGAGTAGGGGGGCACCCTATAAGTGGGGGTCACCCCAAAGGTGGGGGCACCATGACTATGGGGGCACCCTATAAGTGGGGGTCACCCTATAAATGGGGGTCACCCCAAAGATGGGGGCAGTGCACCTGTGGTTCACCCTATAAATGGGCATCACCCCAAAGGTGGGGGCAGTGCACCTATGGGATCATCCTATAAGTGGGGGTCACCCTAAATACGGGGGCACAGCACCTATGGGGTCACCCTATAAGTGGGGGCACCCCAAAGATGGGGGCGGCACAATTATGGGGTCACCCTATAAGTGGGGGCACCCTATAAATGGTGGTCACCCCAAAGATGGGGGGCACCGCAACTATGGGGTCACCCTATAAGTGGGGGTCACCCCACAGTTGGGGGCAGTGCACCCATGGGATCACCCCACAGATGGGGGTCACCCCGTATTTGGGGTCACTGCACTTATGGGGTCACCCCATACTTGGGGTCACTACGCTTATGGGGTCACCCCACCTGTGGGTTTTCTCCCACCTTTGGGTGCCCCCCCCCACCTATGGGTGCTGCCCCCCCCCACCTATAGGTGTCCCTCCACCTTTGGGTGCCTTCACCCCTGTCCCCATTAGGTGTCCCCCCACCTTTGGGTGCTCCCCACCCCCCCATGGGTGCTCCTGCACCCCCTTTGGGTTCTCCCCCTTCCCACCTATAGGTGTCCCCCCCCCACCCA